GAAACAAATATCAGATTAGTAGTAGTAGTAGTAAGAAAAGCCTAGATGCAGAGCATATGAGAAGAGTGCAAAGGGATATGGGATGCAGATGCTGACTGTGAAAGAAATTAGGATGAGCCTCATGGGGTGGAAGAGTTCTTTAAAACCCCACAGGAAGGGCCATATAGAAACAACTGGCATATAGCAGAAAGGATGGAACACCATTTGAAATGTTGTATGTGGCAAACAATCTCTCTAAATTGCTGAATTATGTTGCTTTGACAGGAAGAAAGAGAATAGAAAGCTACCATATTCTTCCACTACAGTTATCTGTCCATCTCATCTCTTCACCAGTATTGGGACTGTGACTACTACTACATCCACACCTTCAGTCTCCTCTCATTATGGAATTTAGCTAACTGTATTTCCTTCTATATTTCCAGCTCCCAAATCCTGAACACACATTCTTATTTTGCATTACTGCTAAATGAGAAAAGAAAGCAAGCAAGCAAGCAGTCTTATGATTGTCCAAACACAATTTAAAAGATTATGGAATTGTCAATGGAGGAAAAACTGTCACCTGAAGAGTATTCAAAACAGTTTGTTAAGATGGAACAACAGACCTCAGAAACTTGATCTCAATTTACAAAACAAGTGGCTGATAGGATCAGTTTCTATCCCAACTAAAATCTAAGCTGAGAGATTATGTAGTGCTGTAGAAGGATAAGATTGGTTGCTGGTGGAGAAACTAATGGTGCTTGCCAAGAAATTTCAAGTGACACATCCAGATTCTGCACATTGTCATGCAAATAAAGTTACTGGAAAGGGAAACAGGAATGTGCTTCAAGAAGAGGCTAGATGAAAGTTGAATCCTGTAGCAAGAGTGAGTAATCTGGTAGGTAGAAAAATGGACAACTAATTATGTTTCCACTGGGCCACTTTGCACACAGCTGTCCACATATTCCAAAGGGGAAATGGAATACAAACAGTGGAGTATAGATCTGATGTGAAGACACCCAAGAATGAAGAGAAATGTGAGAATAGGGTCAGAGACTATGTAGCACTGATAGGGGCAGGGAAGCTGCTTTCTCTATTAGTAGATCCTATTGTCAACATTACAGTTATTCATCAGATATGATTCCAATCAAATATTGAGATGTCTATATTTGGTTGGAGTTAAGTTTCAAGGTGCATTTTTGCATTTTGAAGTGACAGCACATATGAATCAGAATCTCCCTTGCCAAACATTAAAGGAATGTTTGGCAAGGGAGAGATTCTGTTCTGGGTACTCCAACATATGTAGCATGTACAGTTACAGATGCATTACCTATGGGAGTGAGATTCTTGCTCCACTTGGAAGACTTTGCATCCAACACTGCCAAAGTGGTTAGAAGAACAGAGATGATGACAAGAAAGGGAAAATGGATCCTGTTTGTGGAGAGCTTTGTCGACTAAATGAGATCATCTATTATGCTACAATTGATCTATCAGGACTTATGATCTGGGTATCTAGAGTAAAGAAAAACAAGATTGATCTGTAAAACTTCCTACTGGTCTGGCATAGTAGTTCAAGTATCAGATTTGTGCAAAATGTATCACAAGGCTTTGAGATCTTGGATATTTGATAAGATTCTGATAACATCTTTAATTAGGCTGAAATGATCATTCAATCTAGTGTAAATGGACACTACAGGACCTTTAGATCTCTCATCAGATATCAGCCAACACCAACCAACATTTTATGGCAAAAGCCACAAAATGTTGGTTGGTGTTGGCTGATATCTGTGCTAGATGGCTCCAGGTTTATAATATTAATGCCAGTGCCATGTTGACACTTTGGTTCAGATGTCCTGAAACTTGTTAGCTGTGAACAAGAAATAAATTTTAGTGGTTTTAACACAGAGTTTGCTCAAATTTTTGAATATTGAGATCAGATTTTCCACTCTTAGATATCCCCAGAGTAACAAAATAATTAAGAGATTTAGCAGAACATTCAAGCAAATAATGGTGAAGGCTATTCCAGTCCCTTCCCTTGGTAGGGAAGGGACTGGAATAGCCTTCACCATTGTTTCCTTCTTGCTTTGAGTGTACAGGGAAGTAGCCAACCAACAAGCATGCTTATCTATCTTGCTTTTAGATATTGTGTGATCAAGTGCCTAGAGAGTCTTTATCTGTCTCTATCCCAGCTTAAGTTTCATTAAAGAAGGCATCCCGAGAGTATCTTTCTACCCTATAATCACATGTTAAAATTGAAATCAAATTAATTAATTAAAATTGAAATCAAATTAATTAATTAAAATTGAAATCAAATCAATTGAAAATTAAAATGATGTATTGATATTTAAAAACCATTTAAAATTGTTTTGAAATTTTTAAGTTGTAAGTCAAATTTATTTTTAAATTTACATTATTTCTGTGCAGTGTTGAAAGAACATTTTGCTTTTAATAGATATACAGAATTTAACATTCTGTTTTTATTTAAATGTTGGATCCTTTTTAAGGTTATGATTTTTTGAATGATTTTTAGCATGTTTTTATGGTTTCCATTATCTTGTCAAACATTATATCATGATTTTATATAGTTTCCGTTAAGTATGCAACTGGGCTGATTGCTAGAGAGGCAAAACTAGTTATGCACACCATTATATTGATTAATTGGTTGAATACTGAGGTACCACTGTATTTGATTAATATGATTTTGCTATATATGTTAGTATTGAGGGATAAATTAACTGCATTAATCAAATGATATCTATATATACATAATGTACATAAAATGCTCTTTTGTAGCTATGCCCATGCCCTTGCCCTCCTTTTCTATAGTATGCGGGAGCCACTGATGGTCCATATCCATCTATTAGGTTTAGAAAGATGGAGTTGAACATGAAAATGCAGTCACAATGGATTTGAAATTATCTGTTGATCAAAGGCAACAATTAAGGGCACTACTAACCTGCTTTGAAGATATATTCCATTGAAAGGATAGGTTGGTGAAAGTGTGTCCCCATGATATAAACTTGATAGAGGAGACAAACTCTCCTACCAAAAATCTTACCAATCACATATGAAAATAAAAGACCTACTGAAAGTGAAAATGAAAAAAGTGGCATTGAAGTTTAATGCATAGGTAAGTTGAATTATGAAGGACAGCAGAGTCATCTAGTTGCCAAGAGGAAATGTATCACATTACCAATATCCTTTAAACAGGTTGAGTAAATTCTGGTCCATCCAAATAGCCACCATTTACTATTTTTGTCACTCATTTGGAACACTATCAGTGGAAGGTCATGCCTTTCAATTAAAATAATGCATCTTGTAACTTTTCAGTAAATAGTAGAGAACATTTTCGATCTCATTGCATTTCCAAATGTGAGAGAATGATGGTAATGCAATGGTTTGTTCCAGGAGGAAATTTTGCTCTTTGACCTCCCATAGGAGAGGAACGGAGGGAAGCAACATTTAAGAAAAAAAATCAAGTGCAGTATTGATTTCAGGTTCAATTGAAGTTCAACAAAAATAAAACGTTAATGAATAAGACAGACACAGACACACAACTATAGTTTAAATAATATGCAAATATGAAATACCATAATGAAAAAACAATTTTATTTCAAATTAAATTTTTCCAGAAAACTCATATTCTCTCTCTTTATATGTATACTAGCAGACCCTGCCACGTGTTGTTGTGGCTCAAAATATATCTATTATAAATTTATAACACTTCCCCCGTGGGGGGAATTTTTCAAAAAATTTCTTCTTAGTGTACATTCTCTTGACGTACCCTATTAAAACGCAATCAAAAACGCAAAAACGCAAAAACCTGCATCTAAAATAGTATAAATAGAAGCAGAGTTCTTTACCATAAGCCTTAATCCTAACCATCTCCCTTCAGTGGGGTTGAATTTCGACATGTATATTATATAAAAATACGTGCCTATTCGAATGCAGCGTTGTGTCAAAATTTCAAAGGAATCGGTAGGAACAAACGAACATTACATTTTTATTTATATAGATAGATAGATGATGATCTGCTTTAGTTCATTTTCACAGAAAAGCATAATGCCTCACAGAAAAGCAAACTTAGGGCGTCGTATTCGTAGCGCCATCTGTTGGACAAAAAAGCCTTAACCATAGATGATATCATTTAATTTATATGAATGTTTAACGGAATAATATACAGCCTATGTCCACCCTGAAGTTCCATTCTAAATATTGGTGAAAGAATTTTTGAAATCGGATGAGTAGTTTCGGAGATTACCTGCTGCATACAAACATTACCTCTTTATAATATTAGTATAGATATAATTTCATCATGTTATTTGATATTTTATCTTAAATTTTCCTATTGTAAGGAAATAGTGTTGTAACAAAAGTTTTTTTTAGTCAATTATTTCAAAAGAATTTCTACTCCATTGAGCCCTTCTATTTAAGATGTACTACTAATTACCTTTTAGTGTATTCCAAAATATCAAGTGGGATACTGGGAACAAGCTGTCAAATATGACAGGTAAGTGCTTCACTGCATAACAGAAATGCATTGTGGGAGTGTTTTTGGTTACTGCTGTTTTATTTAACAGCATTTGAATTCTCTATTAAATTAGATCGCTTGTTCATCCAACCCTCCCATATTTCATTTGTGTTATGTATGTGCTTAAATTTTGTAATTGACAATGTTGCACTAAACAATGAAGAGAATTCTGTCCCCAATGAAAATAGGGCATGTGTGACATAGTATACATTGGCAAAAGATCTACAGTATAATTGTTAGTTTTTGAAATAATTTGCTGGGGAAAGACTTTTGTTATCATCTCAGATAACTTAATGCAGTTTTAAATGAATGTTAGAGAGGATGAAGTTCTGTTCAAAACAATAGAGAGTCAAATCATAGATGTATGCTGAATATTGAAAATATATCATCGAATCTATTAATATTAATTTCCTTTCTTTTAATGAAACAAAATTGGAATTTAATTAAAATGATATTATTATTAACAACAGTATTACCAACCTTTCAGCTTCTTCTGAAAAACACTTATTAACAATTTCATCTTGATTCCATATTGGATTAGATCTAAAATAAGTAAAAAATTAAATTTATTTTTTATCTTATATTTTAATGCATGATGAAAATTTTTTGAAACATAAATACAAATCTTATGAATGATATTAATTGGCACTAACAAATTCATTTGAAAGAATACATCATCTGATTTTATAAAGATTTTGATACTTTCCCAATTAAAAAAAATCATTTACCTTCACTTATGTTTGATAACAATATTGTTAAGATTTTGAATTGCATATAGTGATATTTGTCCCCCTAATTTAGTTTTGTTCATTTAAGATTCTTATGAATTTTAATGTTGTTGATGTGAACCATGGATTTGTACGGTCCTCTTAAAATCTAAATTTTCTCTTAATTGTAAATATCTTCGGAAAAAAACCCGAAGAATTTGAACTAGATCGGATTTCACCAATTGTATAACAACTAGCTGAGAAAGTTTACACTTAGGTGTGAAGAATGCACCATCATCGTCAACAAAAGTCAATCAAGTGTCAGTTTTCCCACGAGAATGATATAAAAGCTCGAATCTCCGGAAGCTCAGGGCGATTCGTCATAGGAAGTTATACTTTGTGATAGTGCCATCTCGACTCCCGAACCTCCATACAGCAGACCTGATCCAGCTATAGAGAGAGGACATCGGATAGAAGACACCGAAGACACCACACCCTTCCATATAGATGACGTTCGCCAACTCTCCCTTCCACTGAGAAGTATTTAGGGGTTAGAATTTGTAAAAGCGCTCTCTCTCGAACTAGAAATTAGGTCAGCGACATAGCTATGAAAGTAGTCGCCATATTCTGTAAATATTTAAATATAACCGCATTTAACCTTAGTAGTAAGTTCGCCTCATGTAGTTTAGATTAATTATTCAATAAATGTTTTGTTATTTTGTTGAACCTGTCTCCTGTCAATTAAGGACGTCTGAAGACTTACCAACGCACTCCCCACTCGATTTGCCCTCTAGCCATCCAACAGACTCCGAGATTGGGTTTTATCAACCTGTTGCAGAGTAAGTGGTCATTTGGGATGAGCCCAGTGGCCCACTGCTAATCTCACATTATTCAATTGCTCAAGATTGTTGGTGACCCTTTGGCAAGCTTCATCCACAGTTTCCTATCTTGTACTGCTACCCTTCACAAAGCTTTTGACCACTTGTGGTGGCCGAGCATTTTAAACAGATTACGTAAGACAAACTGCCCAGCAAATATTTTCTATCTTGCACAGGACTACTTGAATAACAGAGTGATTAAATATAAGGCCAATAGCTTCACCATCACCAGGCACACTAATAAGGGTTGCCCCCAGGGCTCGCGAAGCGGCCCTGGACTCTGGAATCTGGTTTGTGATGATCTGCTTAACCTAATGGAAGGGAATCAAAATACCACCACTCAAGCTTTCGCAGATGACCTCCTGTTGATGGTGACACATCAAAATGTTGACAAACTAGAGGCAATCACAAACAACCAATTGGAAAAAATTTTTGACTGGAGTCGTGAAAATAAACTCCCAATTAATTATGAGAAAACAATCGCTATGGTATGCACCCGGAGGAACAAACGCAATAGATTAAAACGGCCTCCTAGAATTTTTATAAACAGGAATAAGATAAAGATGGAACAGGAAATAAACTACCTGGGTATAGTGTTTGATGACAAATTAAATTGGCATACGCATGTCCGTGTTGTATGCAGACATATGGAACAAAAAGCGAATGCTCTAAATTGGATAACTGCAAAAGCATGGGGCCTCAACTATACTAACACTAAATCCATCTATGAAGCGGCTGTGGAACCTGCAATGCTTTATGCGGTGCAGGTATGGAAGGAGGCACTTAATAATACTCATATGAGAAGGAAGTTAACGTCTGTCCAGAGAAAATTTACCATAAAAATTTGCAAAGCATACAACACCGCCCCTACTAATGCTTTACTGGTTATGGCTGACCTCCTACCGATCCATCTTAAGGCCAAATATCTAATTTGGAGTTGGCATCTAACTACAGCAGAGAATCAGATTGGTCATCACATCCCGGAAGAGGACAATATCTACACTGACATAAATAAGAATAACACTATCATTGATGTAAACAAAAAAGACTACGGCATAGATAGAAAGCTTAAGAAAAACGAATACCTCAAGCACCCAGCGGAAGAATTAAATTACAACATTCAATGGGATGAAAAAAACGATGAAGAAATTAAAGCGGCATGGAAGATATACACAGACGGTTCAAGGAATGCTAACGGAACTGGTGCAGGTTTAACAGTTATAAACTCGAAGAATAGAACAACATATCAGTGCTATTACAAGTTAGCACCGCATTGTACCAACTCCCAAGCAGAGTTACTTGCAATTTTAAAGGCTATTCAACACATTGACAATAACATTGACAAATTTAAAGGAAGCATTTATATATTGACCGACAGCAAAACTTCTCTATATAGTCTTAACAACATGAACCGACCAACTACCTTAACAAAAAAACTACTTGAGGCCGCTAAGATTTTAGGCTCCAAAAGGCAGATAACCTTTGCCTGGATACGAGGCCATAGCGGGAATGATGGCAATGATACCGCAGACAAGCTGGCCAAATTAGGTGCCAATGCTAACATCAAGCCTTCTTTCACTGGCACTCCGGAGGTTACTCTAAAAAAGTATCTGCTCTCGATCATTAACACAATATGGCAGAGTGAATGGAAGACTGCAGATACAGGAAGAAACTGCTTCCAATTTATTCCATCGGTCACAATTCGTAAGCAAGCTAAACATTACAGGCCAAACAAACTCACCACCCAGGTAATTCTAGGCCATGGGAACTTCCCAGCCTACTTGCATAGATTCAACCTAAGGGAAGATAATAAGTGTGACTGTAACAACATTGACATTGGCGACGCCGTACACTTTGCCTTCAATTGTACTAAATACGATAATCAACGTTCTGAACTTTTACATAACTATCTTCTAAAGAACCCAAGTTGGCCACCAACTGCAGAGAACATCTTTAAGGATAAAAAGCTTTGGAAAACTTTTGAAGACTATATTCACAAGACCGATGCACTAAAAGAAAAATTTAATAGAAAGGACGACGAACAGAACTTAGAAGAAGAAAACAACACGGATGACTATACATCAGATGATGAATCTTTCTAATTGGGGAACGCCACGGCCCCCCTTTACCACGTTGCTCCACTCTCGGTTCCATTGTTGTAAACAACTCTATGTTTTGATGTTACCAGGAGCAACCATCTTGGACTCTATTTTTATGTCAAAGCGACCGGAAGTCTGCAATGTATATATTGTAAATAGTTTTTTACATTTTGATTTTTCTGTACTTACCTTTTATACTCATTTGTACTCAATTTTATTTTTTTATTTTTTGCTTGTCCTTTTATCCCAATTATTGCCGATGCAGGCGCTCTCTGGTCCCACGCCTTCCCTTCAAGCTATCCTTTCATACTTTATTTCATACTTCACACCCCATGCTTTCCCTTCTTTCCATTTTCAACAGGGCATAAGTCTGTGACAAACAGACAGCCCTCTTAACTCTTTATTAGAATGTAGAATGTACTGCTACCCTCAACTGGCTGACAGTCATTCCAGTGTTCATTTTGATGATATCAAGCCAGCACATTCTCGTGACCAAGCCTTCTCTTACCATTGGATTTTTCAAGTGACTGTGACTGCATTACAAGGCCAAAATAAGTGAGCCTGAGCAAAGTTATTCTTCTTTCTAAGGATATGTTAGGGTGATTAACAGGGAAGTTCTAGACCACGGGTTCCCAACCTATGGGTCGCGACCCAGAAGGGGGTCGCGACTGGCTTTCTGTGGGTCGCCAACTTATACAGTTAACTAAAAAAAAATGTTCACTATAATGCAATTTTTATTTTTAATGGTGTCTTGAAGTTTGAATAATTTGATATACAGTCGATTCCCCTATAACACGGGTTCCTATAGTTCGGATTCCTATATAACGGTGAANCTATAATGCAATTTTTATTTTTAATGGTGTCTTGAAGTTTGAATAATTTGATATACAGTCGATTCCCCTATAACACGGGTTCCTATAGTTCGGATTCCTATATAACGGTGAAAAAATTGCGACGGTGTCCATATAAACATGGTAAAAAAACTCCTATAATTCGGTAAAACGTCATCGGGCAGCCAAACTACTTTCCGCCATCCAGCGCCACGCTACGGAGAGTTTAGACGAGTAAGATGAGTTTACTATCGTCTGTAAAGTATGTAAATTAGGTACCGTAAGTCTAATACAGCACTAATTTTATACATTTCTTGTGAAAGAAACATTTCTTATTCAACGGCCATAAAAATTATTTATATTAATGATGTCTCCAAAGTTCAACGAAGTTTTCGCAGAAAAATAATTTATCAGAAAACGCGGCCGCCATTTGATGCGCTGCTCCGCGACGAAAACAAGCTTAAGCAATGGCAACGTCAAACGGTGCACACTCGGTAAGTAATCCTACAATTTTTTGTTTATAGCGTAGTTTATACGGATTATTCCCAAAAAAAAAATATACGTATTTTGGAAATGTTGAGTCAATTAGTCTAGGAATCGATTAATTTTATGGAAGAAAACCTTTCAAACAGCCGTAGTCCGTAAACTTCACACATGTCGGGCTGTGATTGGCAAGGTTTCCTAAAACATCAATTTCATAAAAAACGGAACGTATCTACCGTGTTATAGGGGGGTCGACTGTATTTTTTAAAAATTAAAATAAGTGTAATCTAGGTACGCTATTCCGTCACAGTTGGTTGAATCGTGTTGAGAGTTTGAGAAAAATAAATTAAATGTTGAGAATGACATGAGGTTGGCGTTAACAAAAACTCACCCGCGAATTTTAAGGCTGGTTAATAATATACAATTTCAACAATCGCATTAAATTATTAGACATAATTTAAAATAAAATTATACTAAAAACTAATTTTGTTGTTTTTTTTCAATTACCTTATTAAAAATGTCTTTTTCAATAGTATCGGGGTCGCGGGTCACTTGGCTTTTATAAAAAGGGGTCGCCACCCGAAAAAGGTTGGGAACCGTTGTTCTAGACTGTGTAAAACTTATCAGTCCATGGTATTAAAAGCAGCTTCCTCCAGCACCACAGCTCAAATGAATCTATCCTTCCTCTGTTGGCTCTTTTTACAGTCAAACTCTCACAACTATACATGACTATGACAAGAGCCTGAACAAGCCTGCATTTAGTTATTATCTGAATATCCTAGCTCCTCCAAATTTTTTTCATGCTTAGCATTGCACTTCGTCCTAATGATATTCTTCTCTTGTTTTCAGGTGTTACTTCTCCATCACTGTCAATTTGTTTTGTCTGCTATCATCACCTTCGTCTATTTAACATTGAGGTGGAAGCCCATTTTTTACTTTCAATTTTGAAATTTGCTATGAGAAGTCTCAGTTCATCCTCTGTCTATGCGAGCAGAGTTGTGTCATTAGCATAACAAAGATTGTTGATGTTTCTGCCACCTATCTTTACTCCTATCTTCAGGTCTTCTAAAGCAGATTTTCACATGATTATTTTTGAGTAGATGTTGAAAAGATAGGGTGACAGAATATATCCCTGTCAGACACCTTTACTAATTTTGGGCCAGTCTGGGTAACCATGTGCTGTCTTCTCTGTGGTTTCTTGATTAGTGTACAAGGACTTTATGAGCTTTACTAAATATGCTGAGATACCAAACTTCTGCATGGCTTTCCAAAGCTTATCATGATCCACACAATTGTGAGGTCAGCCGATTAGGGGTGAGGTGTTCGACAGCCGAGCGGTTCTTTCTGTCGTGTGGGCGCAGACTGACTGCCTGAGACAGGTTTACCATATAACCGTTTATTAAACATAGAAATTTTCCTTACAAATTACTTGTTAGACGAGGTAGCACCCCAAAGCGCACGGATAAAGTTCGAAATAAAGTTCGTAAAAGTCGGTTTTCGTCACTAGTGGATGGACGCTGCCGGTTTGATTACGGCTTTCGGCGGCTTCTCGTGGACGAACCGACGAATCTGTCGATTGCTAGGAGCACCCAGAGAACGATGCTTCCACGATGTTCCAAAATGTCCTCTTTTTTTCTAAGATCTGGAGCACGACCGTCCATGAGACGACACACTACGTATCCAAACACCAAGAACCAAAAACTACGAACCAAGAACCTTCGTCTCTTGAATCGCACAAATTTATAGATTTTTTTACAGCAGTCGCCTCTCCATTGGTCTCTCATTGTCACCTGGTGACAATTCGAAACCTAATGGAGGGCGCGGGAGAGGTTAACATAGCGACTGAATATGATCCTCTCTCTCGTCGCATTTTCCTCGAATTTCTCCGTTTCCATTGTTTAACTAATTTTCCGAAAAAAACCAATTGCATTGTTCAATCGAGACACCTAATCCGTTTCCTTAGCGTCTGAAAAGGAGCTTTTTACTTTAAATCGACACCCACAATTCGGACCTCTCAGTCGACCCATGTTCGGATCCTCACACAATCAAATGTCCTGCTGTAGTCAATGAAGCACATGCGGAATGGCACTTTGGGAATTCATGAGCTTTCTCTATTATCCACCTCAAATTTGCAATTTGATCACATGTGCCTCATCCACATCAGAAGCTTGCTTGAACATCTGGAAGTGCCATTTCAATAATTGGTCTTAACCTTTCTTGTATGATCTTGAGAAATATCTTGATTGCATGTGAAATAAGGGCTATTGTGCGATAATTTACACAGTCACCGGAGTCACCTTTCTTTAGTATAGGGATAAAGATTGGAAAAAAGTCAATCATGTGGCCATTGTGCAGCTTCCCAAATTGCCTGACAAAAAGCCATAATGGATTTAACAAATTGTGGTTGTAATAACTCTGCTGGAATGTTGTCTATGCTGGGTGCTTTGTTTTTGGCTAGTTGTTTCATTGCTTTGATCATTTCTGACTTTAGTATGGGTGGCTCTAAATCTAGATTACTGTTTCTATGTGGTGGTTCAGGCCCATGACTGCAAGTATATAGTTCTGTATATTCTTTTCACCTGTTTCTAATGCTCTGTTGGTCAGTCAGTTCCTTCTCACACTTATCTTTTACATTACCTTTATGGGTCATGAATGGCTTTTTAAACTTCCTGATCTGTGAGCCTTGTATAGCCTTTACTAAATTCTATTTCACATTGTTTGCATTGTTCATTCCAATGTGTTTGTTGCAACTCTGCATTCAGTCACTTTACTTCTTGTCAATTAACAACTGCTTTTGCTGTCCTTTTAAAGTCTGTAATTTCAATGGTTTGCTCTGACAACTGATTATGATATTTTTCTAAGATATTCTTTTGACATCCTTGTAGGCAGCTTCAGTTATTGTGGATTAAATATCATTTCAAAGTTATTCAGTTTACTTCTCTGCTGTATCGAGCAACGCAAATCTGATTGTCTCCTCGACAGTAATTGAAAGAGGGATCTTGAAAGTATCAAATTTTCACTGTGGGACATCCTTATGGACAACACATTTCAATGTATACAATATTTCTACTTTAAAAAATAAAAACATTTATATTTGAAAAGCATAAACTGTATATAATTTTAAAGTTTGAATAATGAATATGAATTTCTTCAGTAATTTACTTACAGTATATTAAGAATATTATAAGGTCTTCTAAAGCAGATTTTCACATGATTATTTTTGAGTAGATGTTGAAAAGATAGGGTGACAGAATATATCCCTGTCAGACACCTTTACTAATTTTGGGCTAGTCTGGGTAACCATGTGCTGTCTTCTCTGTGGTTTCTTGATTAGTGTACAAGGACTTTATGAGCTTTACTAAATATGCTGAGATACCAAACTTCTGCATGGCTTTCCAAAGCTTATCATGATCCACACAATTGTGAGGTCAGCCGATTAGGGGTGAGGTGTTCGACAGCCGAGCGGTTCTTTCTGTCGTGTGGGCGCAGACTGACTGCCTGAGACAGGTTTACCATATAACCGTTTATTAAACATAGAAATTTTCCTTACAAATTACTTGTTAGACGAGGTAGCACCCCAAAGCGCACGGATAAAGTTCGAAATAAAGTTCGTAAAAGTCGGTTTTCGTCACTAGTGGATGGACGCTGTCGGTGAAACACTCGGTGGGCCCCGGGGCGTTGATTACGGCTTTCGGCGGCTTCTCGCGGACGATCCGACGAATCTGTCGATTGCTAGGAGCACCCAGAGAACGATGCTTCC